ATTTTGAGGATCTGCCAATTAAAGCTGATTGGATGGATTTTGTGACAAGATAAAAATCATGTGATCTAAAAGATAACCTTTTAGTTTATTACAGTAATATTTTGGCTTAAAATTTTAATAATAATACTAGCTAAATTTTTATAATCTAGTTTAATGATAAAATTTTTTCAAAAATAAATATTAAATACTTTGTTAAATAAATAAAATATAAGTGTAAAGTTAAAATTATAAATATTGCATGTATAGAATCAAAAGATTTTTTAAAACTATTTTTTTTTGTGATGTGATATAACTAATTAATCGGTTTAAACCAGTTTTAATAAAACTGAATTAAATCCGGTTGTGATTTTCAGAAGGTTATTAAAATCGATTCTAACCTCTAGACTGATCATTGGTTCGTTAAGCACGTTTCTTTAAAATATTAATAGTTTTTATTATATTAATATGGCTGGCTTCTGCAGTATAATTATGTTCTGAAGTTTTTTGAAGATAATGTTAGTCTTCAATCAATTTAGTGGTTGCTCTTCCATGACATTTTAATGTAATTCATTTCTCATAAGATCAATAATATAAATTGTTTCTGTTTTTATCCTTAACCATAAGATAACTATAAACATTAAGTTTAACTTTATTGTGAGTAAAAAAAACAACACCACAAATAATATTATTCATTTTGAAAGGAAACTAAATAAAGGATTGCATTTTAGAAAAAAAACTTTATTAAATCATTCGTTGATCATTATGATATATAAATAATATCATTTAATAATAATGCTGAATTTTGCTGAATACTTATTGATAAAATGATTGTTAGTAAAATAATTATCAGTAAATTGTACCTGTCGATAATATAATCGTTGACTAAATGATTGTTAGCGATATGTACCTGTTGTCTAAATGGTCATCAGCCAAATGATTATCAGCCAAATGATTGTTGATTAATTGGAACAAACCCAATTTATTTATTTTATTAAGTTTATTTATTTAACTTTATTAACTAATATATGTATTTTATTTTATATAAATATAGCTGATAATTTTTAGTAACTAAAGATGGTTCACATAATTATTTTAAAATTTTTAACTAGTTGTAACTTAAGTTATAACACTTTGAGTTACAACTATTTATGAATTTTTATATTAAAATAAATTTACAAGAAGTTGTAATCAAGTTGCAACTTCTTAATTATGATACCTATCTTTATTAGTAACTAAAATGTATTAAATCAGAATAATTATTGAATAGTTTAATTTGATTTATTAAAAACATTTATATAGTACAAAGTGTTGCGTAAAGCAGTACTTATTTGTTATTTCATATTAAATAAATGATCAATATGCATACTTTGCTAAATTTTAACTACAAAATTAATTTTCTGCTTATCATTTATATTAACTTTATTTATAACAAATAAATAATATTAAAGAACTAATATTAAAGTAAAATAAAGTAATAATAAACTATTTATTATAAACCTTATTTAGATCAATGTAAAATCAAATAATTAGTTACTTTGTTTTATTACTAATTTTGTAAATATGCAGATCGAATATACTAGAAAAATCTTTTGGGTATCATCCCTAAAATCTTGACATAATGTTTACTTCCCCTGAAAAGTTATTACAACGTTTACAACGTGGTAATTTAATTAATTGAAAGAATTTCTTCAAAAAAGTTTTTTTTTTTTTTATAGCTTTTATTTTTCGAATAAAATAATAAATGTCTTACTATCAGGGTAATCAAGGAAACTTTAGGCCACCACCACAATCACAGGGAAGTCAGTATGGTGGTGGTGCTCCACCAAATTACGGACATCAAGGACCTCCACCAGGTTCTTATGGACCGCAAGGACAGCAGGGATATCAATATTCAGGTCCTCCTCCTCAAGGTATTATTATCAACTTAAATATTTAGATGTCGGTTAAGGGATATGTTAAAAGGTTAAGTTGTTAAAGAATAGATATTTTGCTTAATATAAATTTTTTCATTATAATAGGTCGTCCTCCAAATAGTGCTCCTCAGCAACCACCACCAGGTGCTGACCAACAGCTTTTCTTTTGGTTTCAAGCTGTAGATACTGATAAGAGCGGAGCTTTGACCACGGAAGAATTACAAAAAGCTTTAATTAATGGTGTGCATTCATAAAAATAACTCATTTTAAAAATTATTTTCCTTGTATTAATTTGAATCAATTTTAATTGCAGGCGATTGGAGTCCGTTCAATATTGAAACTGTTCGTTTAATGATGAATATGTTTGATACTGGTATAACAAAATTATATTCTATTATAATATTATTAAATGGTGTATTTGGATCATTTTGATAATAAAAATTTAAATTTTAATAATTAAAACATTAGATAATACTGGCACAATCACTTTTCCAGAATTTGCAGGACTTTGGCGTTATATTGAAGATTGGAAAAAATGTTTCCAAACTTTTGATGCTGATGGTTCTGGCACTATTAATTTCGCCGAATTAAAAAATGCTTTGAGAACATTCGGTTATAACTTGAGTGATAATTTCATTAACCTTCTTATTAAAAAATATGATAAATATGGTAAGTTAACATCTTTTATTATTATTCTTAATGTAAAAAAAAACTTTGTGATAGAGAGGGGTTGATTTATTCTCCCCTTGTTAACACAAAAACTTGTAATATGAATTATTAACCGATCTAAGGCGGTGCCAAAAATGCAGGGAAGGGTGACGTAACTTTTGACAATTTCGTGGTATGTTTGAAAAAAATTTTATTATTTGTAAACGTGGATTATATAATATTTTACTACCTTTTTTTCTTTTCTTTTTTTTTTTTTAGCAATCATGTGTGACCGTTAAGACACTTACAGATGCCTTTCGACGTTATGATACCGATAGTGATGGTTGGATTTTGATTAATTACGAACAGGTAAATTTCTTTTATATATGAATGTATTCTTATAATTAATTATATTTATTAACATTAAATTTTTTCGTAGTTTTTGGAATTGGTAGTCAACAATCGATAGATTTTAAATTCAAGGGTTTTTTCTTTTTAAAAATAATAAAAAAGAAAATAATGGGAAACGAAATTTAATTTTTTTTTTCAAAAAAATAATTTTCGTTTCTTTCTATATTTATTGTATTTTACTAAATTTTTTTTAAAACAAGTATTTAATAAATATTAATATAACTTTACATTGAGTAAAGTACTCATAAGAAAAATATTTTATATTCTTCTACGTTTTTTTGTTGATGTGGGATTTGTTGAAGCATCGTTAATTCTTTGTCGTATAGCATTAACAGAAGTAGGTAGCGACTAAAATAAAAATAAAAATGGTTATTTAATGTGGAAGAAAAGGACTTAAAAAATGATCAATATAATTACATTTGGATCGGTATGGGGTTGATAAGATGTAGAAGCCAAACTTGTTGAAAAAGAAGTTGGATATTCAACTCCAGGTATTGGCGGTTCATGACTAAAAGTAATTCTAGTTTATACCTGGCTTAAATTTTGTCGTTAAGTAATTATTACTATAACTTATTTAAATCTCTTACGTTTGAATTGAATAAGGATAATTATAATTTGAATAACCATAATTATAATAAGTAGATAAATCTTCCTGAGGATACATAACTGGAACTGGATGTAGTGGAGCATCATTCGATTGTATTGGATGCGTTTTTTGGAATTGTGTTAAAGTATTCTCATCTGCAATTAATTAATTGATTATTCCGATCCAATATTTTTTGCATCAAAAAAAGAAATTTGTTTTACCTTTCTTTTCATTAGTTTTAATAGAAATTACATTACGTCTATCTATTAATTTTTGTCGAGTATCTTCAATAGTTTCATATTCTGGACCATATCGTACTCTTAGATTAGAACTAAAGAATGTGTGATCATCAACTTTTCTTTTTGCTGCTCTTAATATTAGGAATGTATATTAGAAGAATCGGACCTTTAGACGATACGATAATATTTATTATATTTACCTTGCTTGAGGAAGTGATTGAAATTTTATCCAATAAACATCAGTGAATTCTTCACATGGATAATCATCAAGGTATCGATATCTAAATAATTAAAAATATATTTTTAGGATTCGAATAAATCATGAAAAATAATGAATCGACTTACTCTTCTATGGTCCCATAAAGTGCAAATAATTCGAGAAGTTCTTTGGTTAAACCAAGTGCGGGAACGTTTTCCACAACCAAATACCTTTATGAAGGGTTGTTAGAATTATAAAGAATAGTTACAAGTAAGAGTATATTATACATACCTTGATTCTTGATTAACCGTGTAAACTCGTACAGCAGTAGGTTTACGACCGGCTCTATATGTAGGTCTTTCAGGAGGAACTAAATATTAAATAATAAGTAACTTAATAAGATTATTTCTCCAATATTAGATTAAATGATTACAGAAAACTAACAACTAAACTGTTTAAGTCTTCACTCATTCTGTTGGCTTCGAAATATGTTATATCGACGTGAAAATAGACTGATCATGTACATTAGTCAAATATTGAGTTGTGCAAGCTTTTATAAAATTTAAGATTTGATATTGAGCTTTCAGCAAACATAAGGGATTCAATAGATTGAAACGCGTTAAAATGCATGCGGAACAAAAATTATGCGTTTATAATTTCGGCCAGCATCATAAATATTTAAACGGATGAATTCAATTTATTACTTATTTCTTAAAATAGATCTTGGGTTTATTTTCTATAATAAACTTTATTTTTATTAACTCGTAAAAACTTTATATAAAATCAAGGTATAATGAACTCTTGATTTAATAAATTCATTTTTTATAATATTAAATATATTAAAAATTATAGATTTTTGATATACAGTTGCTAACAAAAGAAATTCGACAATTAAAACTAAATTTTAAATTTATATAGCTTATTAATACAAGTGCTATAAACCGTACTTTGATTTGATCACGTGAATTAAAAAATAAAACTATACCATATTTTTTGAATTTTTGACGCATTATTTATTAATATTATTTACCCTTTCAGCATATATGTTCTAAATCAAATTAAATAATTAGATTATTAGAATACAATTTTCAGTTAAAATCATTTTATATCAACTTCCAGATTTGATATTTGCTTTTATATATTGAGATTTAAATTTCTTCTTAATTATTAATTAAAGAAATCCTTATCTCTTTTCACATTTACTTAAAATATATTAGAGAACCAGTTCTTCAAATATTTATTTACAGTATTTTTAGTAATATTATAAAGAAATAGGTTATAATTATAGATATATGGAGCCTTTGCAATAAATAGAAAGAAGGAAAACTGCCAGAAAAATAAAAATTAATTAATATTAAATTTGAACATATTTCAGTCTAAAAATCATATTTGGCATATAAAAGTAAATTTGATTTTTCCTGATAGTTTTCCTCCTTAAGCCTTATATATTGTTCAATTAGACATATGCAGCATTTATTATTACAGCTAATTTTATAATTCGTGGATCACTAATAAATTGCGACTGAATGCGACTAAAAAATTATTAATGGTCCATAAATTATGAAATTAGCTGTAAAAAATTAATTTTTAATAATTTTTTATATTAAAATACTACCCAAAAGTCAGACGTGACACTTATTATTAAAAAAATTAATTTTTATTAATTTTTTATATTAAAATGCTGTCTCAAAAGTTTGGACGTAACATTTATTAATAAAAATTAAATTTTTATTAATTTTTAATAACAAAATACCGTTCTGAAAATCAGATACAGCATTTATTATTAAAAAATTAATTTTTAATAATAAAATACTACCTCAAAAGAACATAGCATTTATTAATAAAAAAAATTAATTTTTATTAATCTTTTATATTAAAATGTCACCCTGAAAATCAGATGCAATATTTATTAATAAAAAATTAATTTTTATTAATTTTTTATATTAAAATGCCACCTTAGACATAGCATTTATTAATAAAAATTAATTTTTTTATAATAAAATACCAATCTGAATGTCAAAAGCAAATTTTTGTTAAAAAATAACAAATTGTTATTTTTTTACTATCACTAGTCGAAATGATACAATTTGGCTAACAATTAGATGTCTAAATTGTGTCTGAATTTATGCCAAATTATATCTGAATTATAGTCGAATTGTAATAAATTTGGCTTAATTCCTATTAGCACAATTCAACGCTAATAGAACCAATTCAGATATAACAATTCAAACACAATTTACAACTAATTTCATAATTCATGGACCATTAATAATTTTTCAGTCACATTCGATCACAATATTTTATAGTAATTTTATTATAAAATATTTTCAGTCGCATTCAGTCGCAATTTATTAGTGATTCACGAATTATGAAATTAGCTGTAACCTAAAAATTAAGCTTAAAATCAATCTAAATTCAGCCACAATTCAGATATAATTCAGCCAAAAATTATCATAATTCAACCACTTAAATCAACCACAAATCAACCATAAATCAGATACAAATCGGACATAATTTGCCAAAAATCAACCTAATTCAACCATCTAAAATTAATCTAAAATTGCAAATCAAATTTAAATTATTTCAATTTATTAAATTTATATTTTTATTATTTTACATAACTGATAAATTAAAATTCCTTAGAAAGAAACACTTTTAATATATATAAAAAATAAAGTAAAATAAAGAAATGAATCAAAAATTCTACCTTCAATTAATTTATCATAGTGTATTCCTAAAAAAAATAAAAAAAAAAGGAAATAATAAATTTTTATTCAAAAATTTACTAACGATTTGCTTACCTTAATTTGAAGATGAGAAATTTCCTAAAAAAATAAGAAAAAGAAAAGAAAATGGTAAATTTTCACCCAAAAATTTACCAACAATTTGCTTACCTTAATTCCAAATGATAAATTTTCTAAAAAAAAAAAAAAAAAGAAGGAAAAGTCCACCAAAAGTCATTTCAGATTTATATTTCTTAATTTCAAAATGAGAAATTTCTTTAAAAACAAGAAAAAAAAGGAAAATCCATCCAAAAATTTGCTTCCGATTTACTTATCTTATTTCTAAATGAGAATTTTTTTACAAAAATAAGAAAAAGAAAGGAAATCCACCTAAAAACTTGTTTCTGATTTACTTATTTTTAAAATGAAAATTTTTCTAAAAAAAAAAGAAAAATAAGAAAAATAGTAAATTTTCACCCAAAGAATGATTTACCACATTTCTAAAATAAGAATTTTTCTAAAAAAAGTGGTAAAAATCTTCAAGATTAGAAAAAAATACAGAAAAAAGAAAAGAAAAAGGTTAAAAAAAGTAAAAATTTTTTCAGATTAATCCGAAAGTTTTCAATTAATCCAAAATTTATTCATAATTGTTCTAGCCAATTGGATGATTGTTATATTGTCCAATTGAAACATCATTTTTATTGAATAATTTGTATCATCCCTTAGGGGATGATGATTTGATCGTTTAATTAGATAACTTTTCATCATCTGATTAGAATGATGATGTTGATTTAAATGATAGTTTGATCATTTCAATCAGACGATTTTGCATTATTCAATTGACATGATATTGAATCGTTCAAATTGAATGATTATCATTTCAAAAGAAATGATTTTTTATTGTTCTTAATGAATAATAGATTTATCTTCCATTTGGGACGATTTTTAAATCATTCAATAAGAATGATGATTTATTGTTCTTTTAGGACGATTTTTTAATTATTCTTAATGAACGATCGACTTATCATTCTAAAGGAACAATTTTTTAAATCATTCTTAATGAATGATAATTTTATCATCCTAAAAGGACAATTTTTTAAATTGTTCAATAAGAACAATGATTCATTGTTTTAAAGGGATGATTTTTTAAATTGTTTTTAATAAACAATGATTTTATTGTTCCAAAAGGATGATTTTTTAAATTATTCTTAATGAATGATGATTTTATCATCCTAAAGGGATGATTTTTAAATTATTCTTAGTGAATAATGATTTTATCATCACAAAGGGATGATTTTTTAATCATTATTAATGAACAATGATTTTATTCTAAGGGAATGATATTTTTAAAATCATTTAATAAGAACGATGATCTATCGTCCTAAAAGGACAATTTTTAAATCGTTCTTAATGAATGATGATTTTATCATTCCAAAGGGACGATTTTTTAATCGTTTTTAATGAACAATAATTTTATTGTCCCAAAGGGTTGATTTTTTAAATTGTTTTTAATGAACAATAATTTTATCATCCCAAAAGGATGATTTTTTAAATTGTTCTTAATGAATGATGATTTTATTGTCCCAAAGGAACAATTTTTAATTGTTCCTTTAAGATGATTTTTTAATTGTTTTTAATGAATAATCGATCTATCATCTTAAAGGAACAATTTTTCAAATCATTCAATAAGAGCGAAAATGTATCGTCCCTTTAGGACGATTTTTAATTGTTTCTATCAAATTTGTATCATCCAATTGGAATGATGTTAAATCATCCTAAAGGAACAATAATTGTATTATTCCATTTGAAATGATTGTTTACTATTATATCTTTTTTCAATCAGACAATTTTTGCATTATCCTATTAGACTAATTGGAGTTAATTTTTAGCTCAATTCCAATCTACCATAAATCAGTTATAAATACAATAGCTGATTTTTGACCGATTTTTGAATTTAGTCTAAATTAAAGATGATATAGCAATTGATTTCAAATTTACAAAATGTTGCAACATAAGCTAAAATTAGTTGCAACATATGTTGCAACATTATAAGTTGCAACATATATAGGGTAAAACTAATTGCAACGTAAGTTGCAACATTAAAAGTTGCAACATATTAATTACAGTTCCCATCTTTAGTCTGAATTGTCAATGAATGACAAATAGCAATTTTTTTGATTTTGACTAGTGTATTAAAACGCTATTCTGAACTTTAAAATCAAATTTTTGTTAAAAAAACAACAAAATTGTTATTTTTTTAATATTAAAACACTGTTCTAAACTTCAAAGATGGATTTTTGTTAAAAAAACAACAAAATTGTTGTTTTTTAATATTAAAATACCATTCTAAACATCAGACATGAATTTTTGTTAAAAAAAGTTTTTTAATCTGTCGAATATAAATAGGATTCAAATACAAATTCAGAATTAAATTTGTCAGATTTTGATCGAATCAGATTTAGATTTGTCAGATTTATATCAAATTGGATTTGGATTTTTCAGATTTAAATTGAATCAAATTTTGTTCAAATCTAATCTGATTAGATTTATATAAAATACTACATTTTATCATAATTATAAATTTCCATCTAAAATTTACACTTAACTGATGATAATTCTAAATATAGTATTAGAAAAATTTACATTTTACCTATGATGTACTTCATCTTATTCTCATAGATAGCTTAAAATTGTTTACCTTATTGAAAAAATAAATATGTTTTTTAAGTTTTATTATTTTACATATCT